TTTATTATCTGTTTGTTAGCATTGTTTAGTTGTTTGGTTTATTTTGTCATGGCGTAGCGGCCTGAAGGTGCTGTAAAGAGCGTGTTCGCATTTGGTTGTGTCCCGTTCAAGGAATGCCCGGAGGAGTCGGTTTTTGGTCTTGCCATGTGCGGCTGAGTTTTTCCGTCTTGATTGATTTTCTTTTTTTTTTTTACCTTCACCTGTTGTTGACTTCCACGTCTTACTCTCCACCAGGCGTGGCCCTGTTGCTTTGCGAAACCTCGAACCTAAATATTTTATTTTTTTTACGCAATTTTCGTTAAGATCGGAGTTGGGTAATTTTATTCTTATTTATTTTCATTCCCTACCCCTCTCCGTGACTATCTTTCCGTGTGTTTCGGACCGTGTCTGTGTCATCGCTTTTGTGTATTACGGAAGTGAAAGGGCCATTCCCTGTTGATCTGTTTGATGTGCAGTGAACAAACCCTAGCGTTTGATTTCGGAAAGAATTGTATATAATATATCAATGATGTTTTGACTTTCTATGTCTTAGTAATATGACCGCTAATAGCTAGTCATGCTAATTTACAGTGAAAGTTTTATAAATCGAAACAATAGAACGTCTGTGCCTCTTCGATATTGAAGGTCTGGTCTACTAGGCCATGCTGATTTGATTATATATGTTTCTTGTGGTTTCCCGCTCTTATCAAAACATAAATAACTATTCAATACCACAAAATGCGTTTATAATTGATTACAAAACGCAGACAAAATTTAAGAAAACTTTTTCACAATTTATAGCAACACACGGGTCGCTTTGTCTGACTTAGGGCTTGCAAAACGAAGACGTCGTTTTCCGATATTGAGGCCGTTCCATTAGGGTCACAGCAGAGAGGGTAAAAAGACAAAAAAAAAATGACCTTCCCCTCTCACCCGGATGTCTGCGCCGCCGAGTGGGCTGTACCTAGCATCCGGCTGGCGTACAAACTCTGTTTAAAATCGCGTCATTTTGGAAATTTCAAGCACAGATGCGCCGATCTTGGTATTCCAGTTATCGTGTAATACTATGCTAGATAAAAAGGCTAAGAGGGTCCAATTGCGCCGTTACCTGCGTGAAAAAAAAAAAAAAAAATAGGGCAAACTGTGTCAGATTGGCCGGTCTCTACGGCGAAAAGTAAATCCGGTTGCTGTACCTTTTTTTCTATACAAAGTTCCCACTGGTGGAGGCCTTTAGCGACCATGAGTGGAAGTGTGAAATAATAAATAAAAATGTGCTCTCCTGCCGCAATACACGCAGTAGTTGAGGGTAGTACTGCCGGCTGACTCAACTGCTATTTAAGTAACGAAAAAAAAATATGCTAGTTGATCATTTACCGAAATAGAATAGAGAGCTCTAGGCTGATTTGGAGTAGCCATAACTATTCTAAGAACGCGAACCACTTCACAACGGCAGCCACGAGCGAGAGTTCGATGTGTCGTACAGCCCGCCGGTACAGCCCAAAAGATGGAGAATGGCAACCTCCTGGTTTGTCGTCTGCTAGCGGAGTCAGGCGCGTGCCCTCTCTTTCGTTTTACTCTCCCGAGTGCTGAATTTCCCAGATGCATGAAGAGGGCGCTGCTGTCGAACAAAATGGTGCCGCCCAAAGAGCACTAAATGGAATGATCTTTTACTTTCTCGACTTCCTTTTCGAGTAGACAGCTATTATATCTACATTTTAGCAAAAAAAAAAAAAAAAAAGTCTTTTTTTTTTTAGAAAATTGATTTCAATATTGGAACTTTTGGTTTTCGCATAACATTAACGTAAACGTCTCGCATAGGATAGTTCAAACAGCTAAGTCATTATATATATATATATATATATATATATATATATATATATATATATATATATATATACAAAGACCGTGTTTTGGGCTCTCCATAGACATAAAAAAATATTGATGTAACCAGGGTGTCGAACCGAAAACCGGAACCGAACCGGTATTTTTTCCGGAACTGAACCCGAACCCGAACCGTTATATTGTTATCGCGATGAATTCGAACCGGAACTGAACCGGAAAAAAAATAACGGTTACCGGCTCATGTCAAAACGGTTCGGCCACGCGCTGTTGACAATGAATGTGCTATCAATGCCATTTTTTTTTTAAGTGCCGTCAACTGACACACACCTCGCTTACATATTTTTCTTCCCCACTCAGTCTTAGGAATATAAACGCTGCATCCATGAATCTTGACAAACGCTGCATCCATGAATCTTGACATAGGAACCAGTATTGCGCTGGTCGCGGCTTGCACGAAAGAAAAAAAATTAAAAGGCTGTGCAAAAAAAAAAAAAAAAAAAAAATCGCGTCATGGGATTTCATTTTTCTACAATCTCGTAAATCCTAAATGCTGCTGTGTGCTCATTTCATAACACGTTTCTAGAACGCGCGAGTTCTTGAAGCTTGCTTCCATCGGAATGAGAAAAGAAAAGGCTGTGGAGTTTGATAATAATGCATCCGGTTTCGTATAGGCACTTAGAAGCTATAGTAGATTACAAGTCAAGAAAGTAGCGGCAAATGCCCCTCAAAGGGAATCAGATATCCCTCCGCCCCCTCCGCATCCAATGGCGTCCAATCGTTTCCGTGACGTCGCGGCCAACGCGCGAGGAGGGCCTTGCCTTTCTGTACACATTTGCTTTATCTTACGACTTTGACTTAGCATTGCGGAAGCCACGAGAGAGAGATTAGAGTTTTCCCCCTCCGATGGAAACAAATACGACTTCCGGAGATTAAGTTTCCCCTCCGATGGACACAAAGGCTGCTTTCAATGGCGCGGTTCCTTCTTCGATGAGTACAAAGGTCGCTTTCTTAAAAAGTGGGATCGGAAACAAGTTGGCATCACTCTGTAGCCCATATCTATCCATTGAAGCGGAACAAGGAGCGTTTCCAGTGAACTCTTCTTTCGACTGCGGAGAGATTTCAAACCGGCGCATCACGCTTGTAGGAGGAGCTTCTCCTACCTTCTTAACTTGTAACCGACTATAACATATTTGTGAGACAGCGAACTCTTCTAATTTAATATTTATCCTATTACGTCCCTCTGGCGTTGCGTTCGGTGAAGTGTTTTTCATATTCCGTATCTTGTTTAATGAAAACTTCTTTAAAGGGATACTACAACGAAATTTCTGCGCTCGTTTTTTGGTCTATATGTATTCAAAGGAGCAGCATCACATCGAATATACCAATATCTTGTTAAAAAAGTCTCGAAAAGGAATTTTAAAACGAATTAAACGATTAGCAAAGAGCACCTGGTGGATGTCGCTAACGCCTCGTTTGTAATGCTCGTCTAGGAACCTTGACAGCTAGTGACGGAGGTTGTCTCGTCTTCGGCCACGACGAGAGAAGGGGGGAAGGAGGAACTCCCCTCTTCCCGAGAATCCCTTTTGTGTGTCGCAGAAGTCGCTATTGTCCCCCCAGAAGATTATAGAAGATTAAGCCGTCACTCAAAATTCGTACAAAAGCAGCCGCTTCGGTGGCTGGAACGACTAGGCCATCCTCTCTACGTCAGCCTCGCCGTAGCTTTGCTCGTCTTGAGACGACCTACGTCACGATTGCGTTGGATGTCACGTGCTCTAAGCTGGGCCTTCTCCGAGCGCTTGCCAGAGTGGGCCGTTTATAACGAAAAATACAGCCACCAGGATCAAAATACAAACGTGCGATTGTCATTTACGGATATTGTGAATCATATTCAACCTATTTTTGAACACGACGGGAATATTTAAAATTTTGTTGTAGTATCCCTTTAAGGGTCTAATTTGAGTTACCGAAGGCTAGTTCAAATAAAGAAAGCTGTATTTTCTCCCCACTGTTCCTTCAATTGCTTACACGCCGAGGTGGCGGGATAGTTAGCGGGTTCTATTTGTAAGTGGGTTTGTAAGGAGGTCGCGGATTTTACAGCTACTGCGTCGGACCCAATTAGATGAAGTCCGAATGCGTAAACGTCGGTGAGGTAACCTTTGAGTGCACATAAAGAAACCATTCCTGGTAGAAATCCCTGAGCCTCACACTACGATGTATCCCGTTTCGTATGTGCTGATTTCAGATGTTTTATTTGTAATTTATTTTGATGTTGCAATTTGTCATTTATTATTTCCGAACCGGTTCGCGAACCGGTTCAGCGCCCCGAACCAGTTCGCGAACCGGTTTGCGGATCAAATTAATCGAACCGGAACTGAACCGGAACAAAATAAATTTACCTGAACCTGAACCTTAACCGAACCCGTATTTTTTTCGGTTCGACACTGGATGCAACCCAAGTAGATCGCCAGTATTTAATTGTCAAATTTCGTCAACCATTAACATAATAAACATTACATTTTTACAGAAAAAAAGCAAAACGCCTAAAATTATTTCATGGTATTAGAGCCTTTTATCTGTGCTCACACAATGCTTGAAAAAAGTTAATATAATGTGGACTGAAAATCCACGGCGGGAGATCGAGCGAAACATACGACCAAGGGCGGATGTGAAAAACACTGCTTTCCGCCGCGGCCTCTTTTAAAATTCCTAAGTCGAGAACAAAAAATCCGACGAACTTGCGGTTTGTGGCTACGGCGTTTTCAAAGACGACGCCATAACATATATCTTTTTTTAGCGAAATTAAAAATTCGACCCTTTTTGCCTGCATGATTTGCCACATAAAAAAATAATGCGCAAAAAAAAAAAGAATATATATATAATATATTTTGCGCATATTTTTTTTTATTGTAAACTTGAAGAATTCGTGACAATGTTATGGACGATCCTTTTTCGTAGTTAGCACGTAGATTTGGTCTCGCCAATCCTGAAAAACCTTCACTCGAGTTCAAGGCAGTTCAAGGACTGCCTCATAGCTGGCGCCAGCGTGCTGTCCTCTAGGGTTATCTGTTCTCTGGTCACCAGGCGCACCCTGTCGCAACCAAACGCATCGCAAACGCAACGACTCTTCGCGCACGCTGCAAAAAAATCAAGTGACTTTCGCGATGAGCGTGAATTCTTACTTTCGTGTATGGAACCCCATCCAACCACGATGGCCGTTTGATCATCGAAGGTGTGATTTCCGCTCGGAAGGCAGATGTGTCTCGACGTCGGGCCCAGCGTCAGAGATGTGTTTAGAACGAGCATGGCGATGTCGTGATTGTACGTTGTGGCGTTGAAATGCCTGTGTCGGTAGAGGGCCTTCACAGACAGTTCTTGTCCTTTTTCGTGCTCGGAATGGCCGTAGCTGACCCTGATCTCCGATGGCTCCAGACTGCCGTCCCTGTTTGCGGAAACAAACGAAAGTGTTCTTTGTTTGTCTGTTTGATGTAACTTCTGTTTTGTCTGGCAATTGTGTTGACTCAAGAACTCATCGTTGCCGTTCAGAATCACCCCCCCCCCCTCCCTCTTTCCTCCGCCCTTGCGGTAGATAGGTGAGCTTACTATAAACATTTGAGCTGAGTCTGTGAGAAAGAAAGCCTGCCAAGCCCGGAGGCAGATGAGCGCTTGGGGGACTTGATTTCACTGGCTATACTACTTGTGCGTTAGCTTTGGCAGTTCTTTTTTGCCCACAGTCTTAGCTAACACTGCCTACAAGGTTTATTCCGTAAACACTTTCGATATCCTCTTTCTGAAGTCGCCACCAACGCACGTAAACTTTTCGCACTTGTTTTTTTTTTTGTTTGCAACAATACAAAAAACAAAACAACAACAACCACAAAAACGCGCTCATAAAAAGGGTCAATTATTGTTCCCACTAGCTGAGAAACGTGAATCCCGACATTTCCCCGAACAAAAGAAAATCACACACATACTGTCCCCCCAAAAACATTGTTTTCACCACAAAATGAATTATGCACAGCCGAACGCTCATTCTCCGCCCAATGTATAGCTCTAAAGCGGACCGAATCAGACACTGAAGTTTCAGTACTAACCGGTATTTTATTCAAAAGCTCCAGGGCCCCCTATTCTAAATTCCTCTACTCACTGCGTGTTTGTTTAGCGGGAAGTTGGTCAGCTTCGAAGGGCGTCTGGTGTAATCATCGGCTGTAAATGAGAAATGTATCTTGCGGAGTGCCAACTGCTCTGGTCACCGACAGCTCGCTTCGTGATTGGTCCTTCGACGTATACTTATCGGCCGATACAGCAATCTCATTGGCTGTGCGGCGCTAATGAGATGCTCGGACGCTCGCCCCGCCCTGACTTTCTCGAGCCGTCGGTGGCAATGCGGAAGGCAAATCGTCCGCTTCTTGCGCAGGAGTTGCGGTGACGTCAGGACGACGCCGAGCTCTGATTGGCTCCGGTTGAAAGGATAGTGGGTAGACCTCGAGGCAGCTAGCATTGAGGTCTACCCACTGTCCTTCTATCAGAACCAATCAGAGCTCGGCGTTCTGACGTCACCACAACCCCTGGAAAAGAAGCAGACGAACTTGCGCCCTGCGTACGGAGAGGAAGTGTTCCAAAAAGCGTCTATGGCGCATCGGAACGTAAAGGCATATTCAAACGAGGGATGCCCTTTCGGAAAGGGATATGTGCGTGACTCGAATGACCGGTGGAATGAGCGGGATGCCCTCCCGGACGCGTTCACACTTGAGGAAAACTCACTCGCCGCCGACCAAATTTACATGGGCTGAAAAGGACGGCGCCGTTCGCATCTGTTACCGTGTGAACAGCAGACGAACCTGCACCAGGCCGTAGTGGTTACACGACCGCACCGCCGGCAAGATGCTCATTCAGCAGTGCGGGCAGGGGTGGGAATTGAACCCAGTATCCCCATGGGTTCTGCAGCAGGAGCTTTCACTTATGAATGCCTAAATTCACGTACAAAATAAATATTGACGCATCATTGAGTCGCAGAAGATACTGTTTAGATAGACAAGAAAGTGACGCAGGATTGATAAAATATAACTATAGGCCGCTGATTTTTTGGTGTTTATTTGTAAGGGAAATGGGAGGATTTTGTTTTTGTGTTTATTTACCTTTAAGATTCCGGCGTATTTCGATTATATGCTTCTGACGAACGCTAAAAGCGGTAATTATCGTTGAAAAAAAAAAAAAGAACTCATGAAATTTAAGAATTATATTTAAAGAGGGAAGTGTTCCGACGAAAACAGTCAGCCAGCCGGAGCCAAAATTTCCAGAAATCGGTGTTTTCCGGTTTGAACCGATTTTGGATTTTTGGCGCTAAAGAATGTTTATCAGTGCTTTTCGGTTCCAACTGGAAGGTCTACAGCCTGAATATAGTGCAACATTCTCGACGCTTTACCGTATACTCACCGTTTTACGCAGTGTGCAGCCGTAAGCACGTGCCTGGCGGTGAGTATGACTCCGCAGCATCCCATCCATACTCTATATTTAATCTGTAACTTCACCTGTAAGGGGAAGACCAGGTCACAAATTAACAGTTTCTACCGGTAGAATGAACCCTTTCTAAAAAGTTCATCGAGCAACATTGGCGGTCGCCATGAATGGATCCGAGTCCTCGCCGAATGCTGACGTTACCCTCGAGTCCAATCCGTGCTCAGAGATCGGGGCCAAATAATGGCGGACTCGGATAACTGGCGCAACAGCTCCTAGATGGCGCGCACTTTCGAAAAATGGGTCTGTAAAGTTTAACGAGCGGAAAGTACGATTGTCAACTAAACAATCGACGTGCTTTGTATAGCGTTGCTGGCTCCTACGTACGCAATTTGCAAAAGTTTAGCGTGCGCTAAAAACTGTATACCTGCTCGGACCGAATTTAGTTGTGCGTTCCGTAAACGTTGCCGAGTAAACATTTCGCACGATCGTCTTCATTCAATTTGCTAGAGCCGTAGAATTCAGCGTGCTTGCAGCGCCACCATATGCTCCTCAAAATAAATAACGAAAATGAAAACGTTTCCAATAGTTTTGGTTCAAATGAGGTTCAGCCGCAGCTGCCTGGTCAAGCGCGCTTCTCTGCGGGCTACGGAGGCTACGAATACCATGGGTAGCCAAATTCGATCACGGAGTATCCGTCAGTCGTCCAGGGGAAACGACACCTTTTATCAATATGACCTACTGATGTACAGTGTACGGTGACTTGGGCTATTTTTTGAAGGGTCGTTGTTCCGTCGGCGAGGAACTGCGCGAAGAGGCTTAGCGTTGAGCAGATTGCAGTGTTCACGCACATTGCGAGCGGTGAGCATCTTCATTATGATCTCCTACAGCTGCATGGCGATCTGAACCGGCTGCGGCAGCTCCCGATACCCGAAAAGAAATGCAGAACTGAAAACCACGCATCCCCAGCATTCCCGGACACGGTCTCCGTGCGCCCTCTCTTGGCTATTCTCAGCGAAACGCAGTAAAATGATAATTTCAGCCAGACTATTGCAGAAATCCTTAAGTTCCCTGGGATATCTATAGAGGGCACTAATGCACTTGAACCTCAGGATTGTATATGTTTTATTCCTGGGCCCGATACCGATATGATATTGTTGCATTAGGTGTAGGGGCCGCTACGACAAAATTTTAAATTTCATCTCACTGAAATGAAGAATGGTAAAGTTCTCGAGGAATATAATAGCTGCCGACTCATAGCACACACCGCAGTTAAAATTTCGGTATTTTAATTAATACTTTTTATTCCTGGAGACTTTATTCGGTCCGCTTTTCGCCCCTGTAAAGTTAGCACTCCGCCGTGCACCAAGGAGCTTGCGGCCAAGCTACGTTTACGTAGGCTTGTCGAAAAAAAGATTTGTACGATGCGTTTGTGACAGCATATTGACTAAGAATGTGGCGGTTATAATGTGACTATATAATAATTAGATGTTTACAATCAAAATTTGTGCCCTGGATTTCAAGTATAAGCAATTGTTACGTAGGGTCAGAAACAGTTGCATCGTATATATTTTGCTTTGAATTTGCCTGTGTACGTAAAGTTTTAGCTCGGTTACAGACACAAACTGAACAAAATTCTTTCAGGCGCGCATAACTAGAAATAGCTAGAAATATAACTAGAACGGCGCGCCGCTGGCCGTTCGATTCTGTGTCTTTTTATGTATCTTATTTTATTTATACATTTATACGCGTATAAATAAAGGACACAACGACGACGACGTTGAGAGGATGACACACCGGGCGACGGCGGTGCCTCAATCTGAACTCGGAACCGGCAGCTTCTAATTTGACTGGGCTACCACCTCCTTGGAGCTTGATGCTTCAACCCCAGTGAGCAACAGCGCCATCATGCTCCTGGGGCTCCTTCATGCGCCGATCGAATGGCGTGCCAGATCCCCATGGCTCGCTGCTGACCCGCCCAACCCACCTCCACGAAACCTGGACTTCTGCGAATCGGACTGCCATCCTCCCCAATGTCAACAACCCGTCGTCATCATGCATGTATATACTCATCACATTACCATGCTCACTAGACGCGGCACCGCGGTCCTCCATGCTACGGGCTGCTGCCTTTCCTCGGTGCCGCGGCTCTCCAGACTCAGATAAATAAAGACTAAAAACTAAGGACTAAAGACAAAATGCTTTGCTGACCACCAGCCGGTAGCGCATTAAAAGAATAAAAAACAACAACAGTGTTTCCTCGTTTGGAGGATACCAATTCCAAAACTACACCATACTAGTGGCGCGCGTCACTGAAATAACACACGCAATACATAAAATAACAGATCGTCTCTTGAACGCAAAACGGCAAAATACACATAATTGGGGAGATTTTTTGTTTTTAAAAGCCAAACTCAGAAACCTAAACTAATGTTTGAAGAAACTCGGGGTATATCGTGCGCATCGTTTCGAAAAAATATCAAACGAAAACATCACGCAACAATTTGACGTTGTTTCACACCTCGAGACAATGGCTTGCACTGGCGCACCTAGAGCCACTAAATGAGCTACACTAAATAAGCGTTGCTTATTTAGTGGCACTAGGCGCACCGATCCCCGGCGTAGCACAGCGCGTAGTCATGAAACGTCTTCGACTGGTGATGATGATAGCTTATTTGCTAAAAAGAAAAAGAAAACTCGGCGCGGACCTCCCCTCCGTCAGCGCTGGATTCGGCGCTGTAGGTGTCCTGTCTAATACAAATGAGCGGAGTGGAATGTATACTCCCCCTAGTAAAGTATTTGGCCAGACGCAAACGGTGAAAAGGGTGGGAGGCCCGGGAGATGCCCAGGAGAGGAGGTTCAGATAGCGGTCGCGCGCTTCGAATTCTCCGTTTATCTTGCTCTAAGGTGCCTACATGTCTGTCTGTCTGAGGATGAAGACATCCATTGTTGCCCTGACTGTACCAGCGCGTGACGCTGTCGCGCCCTCGGTGCGTGACTTGGGTGGTAAAATGGCGTCTATGTATTAGCCAAAGCTACTCGCTCGAGCTGAGTGACACCAGATTGCGCGCGCTTCAAAATGCATAAAAAAACGATTGGGCGGAAAAATAGCTGAGGTGTCACCACTTCAGCAATTAAGTTACTCAAGAATTAAGTTACGGCCGCATTTTGGGTCTCTTGGGCGATAACCGCAGAAATGGGTGTTGGCATGGATATTTTGAGAGACATCATATGACACATAATGGGTGTTGGCATGGAGATTTTAAAAAACATCGTATGACACATAATATTAATAAAAAAAACGATAAATAAAAATACAAATAAAAAACGAGACACGTGCCGCGCGCCACTTCTGGGAAGAACATGGCGTTTGAAATCTAGTTCAGTGCTGCGCTGTGCCGCCATGATCTTCCCAAGGGCTGCACGTTGCACGTGCCTCGTGCATCGAAGCACTTTGTGCTAGTTTTAAAACATGAAGGGGCTTTAGGTTGCTCAAGGTTGATACGCCACGTGTCGTGAGAACCGGGAACTAAAACAGCGTGTCTCAGAAAGCTGGCCATGTAATTTCAGGTAACACTGGACTTCGCGAACACCACGTCGCCCATGCTTCGCCAGTCGAGGTAACCGCCGTCTTGAAAGTGGTGCTCTCACTGGGCCAGAGATCTCTGGACAGCTTCCGGCAAAGCCTGCTATCCCGCAACGTAAAATCCCCGGTGTTGCGAGAATACGCAATACGCTGGCCCTTCTATTGCGTTCTGCCCATGCGCTCTACGCACGCGCTCTCCTCATCCCCAATTTCTTTGCGTACGGTCCGCTAAAACTGCCTAATGACTCTGATATCGTCGTAAGCAGGCCTTTCGCCCATTTGTTTGGGGTGCAGGGTGTTTTTGTGTAGGCGTACCGATTTGCTAAGAAAAGCCCGTAAAAGTACACGCATCCGGTCTGTGAAGGTGAGTTATACAGCCAAGGTAGACTTAATATAGGGGGCAAATCGTCACGATATGTTGGATATTGAACAAAAATATGTTAATTACCTTTTTAATAAAAAAAAAAAAAAACCATACGCTTTCAAATAAAAACTATCTTAGCGTCACCCAAAACAAAATCAGTAAGTCATAGCAAGAGTTAAAGCGCACAATAAGCGCGGTGGTGCACTAAAAGTCACCACTTAGTTGAAACACGGCCAACACTTACTGACGTTTATTTGTAGTTTCTTTTACTCAAATGAACGTGCTGCTGTTTGCTTTCCAGCTTTGCTTTGATTTGTTTTGTCGACTTGTCGTGTAATGTTTTGTGGTATTGTTGTTATTATATAACCATTTTGAGCTTCGTCGGCACCATGCCTATATCTCTGCCCCACGCGGTGAACCCCGCGAAACAAATGAAAAAGATAAAAAGAAAAGGTCTATTGGCACACTCAGGGTCTCAACATGGTGCGCATTGCCTTCCACTAGTTTACTGATTTAGCGACTAGCTCTAATCGCATTCTTCAAATTTGACGAAAAGACGAATTTACTGTTTAGTCTTGTCTATCCTGGAAATATTCACCTTGAGGCCAGTTCAAAGCATGAGTGGACGACAACCGCTTTATCGCGGAGTCTTATACAGCGTCGGATTTGTGGGCGGAGCGAATTTTCCCGTCTTTCCGCAAGTACAGCCCTCGAGAAGCGCCCAGGTAACGACACTTAGGTGGTGTTGACCTATAGGTCAAGCCTATATTCGTTCCTATTGCAGTAGTACATGCAACCGTTTATAAAAGTAGCCACACGAGACCTTCGAGTTATTTCTGTACTGCACTTTTGATTTCTTGTTTGCGCCGAGTGACAGAAACAAATAGGAAAAAAAAAAAAAGAACTACAGATGAGTTTACGCTTACTGACTGTTCAGTATAGTACATAACAGTTGTGAACGGGTCCTCACGTCGGACTGACTAAACGGTTTTTCTGAACGTCGACATTACACCTGCTTGTTACGCGTTGCCTCGCTTAAAAAAGTATATAGTCACACAAGATTGCTCCGTTAACAGGAACTTCTCACGCCAAAGAAACACCGGAGAAAGTTTAATAAGCTAACTATGTATTTTAACCCTTGTTGCTTCGGGATTGGTTCCTTGGCCTCCCTTAGGAAAACGCCGCAATTTCATTGGCTGCGGAGGTGTAATGAGATGCACATCATTTGCAATGCCCTGCGAGGTGGTCGCTGGCGATGCCAGGTTTTGCCTACTATGGTCAATGGTAGGCAAAACCAACCATGGTCAATAAATAATAAATACTAGGTCAACGCGTGATCTGGCAGGAAGGTATTTCACAGCGAGTGAATTTAAATGATTTAGTTAGAGCATTGAGCAGGAGCGTACCTAAGAAACAAGTACTAGCGAAAACACACGCAAACAGTGAGTGTGCCGGCGAGTTTACGATAATTAATCATAATGTAACATTCGAGACTGGTGCGGAACACTTGATAAAACTTTCAAGCCGAAGGGACATACAACAGTAGGACAAAGTCTTAAATTGTTGCCAACGCAAAATATTCTATTGCATCCGTTAGCTCTTTGAAATAAAATTTTCAAGGTATGCAATTAATCGGTATAGCAGTGCGATTCCGAAAATATAACATTATAATTTTTGTCGAAAAAACAAACAAACAAACAAAAAATCTGCTCGCTGTATGTTGAGTTGGTTAAAAAAGATTTTGCACGACTTACCATCCAGGGAAACGTTTCAATCGAGGCAATCGTTCCATTCACGATGCGAGCGCTTATTGATGGTCGTCCACATTCTGTTGAGAATAAAAAAAAAAAACACAAAACAGCCAAATAAACAAAATTTAGTCGTAGACAATCGAAACATTGATAGCTTCTTGTTTTTGTAAAGCTGTGAGTGAGTGAGAAAACGTTTCATCAATTCCATAGAAGATGGAGTCAATGATGATGATGTGCTGGGAAGCATTGACCGAAGATTTACGCTGGGGTATGGTCGGGTAAAGATTAGATCGATTAGAGGGTTGGTGGTAGGTATGGGATGAAAGGTGTGGGATGCGAGGAGTAAATGTTGGGAGATGGTGTCCTCGCTGTCTTCTTCCTTTCATCTTTCACCGTTGGGGCGCTGTGCGGGTGTCTTTTATATGTGCATGTCCAGTCTAGACCCTTCTAGGAAGAAGAGTAGGCTGGACAGAATCGCTTTTCTCTGTTTTTTCCCCCGACGGGACGGTGCCAGGCTGGTGGGGTGGGGGTCTTGTCTGTCTTGTGGGCCAACGAGGCTCATTGCTGCAGTTCGATCTTCTTTGAAGTTCCTGCGTTCCCACAGGAGGTGGTGGTCGTCGGGCTCGGTGGATTTTTTGAAGTGCGGGCACGAGTCCGGGTCTGGCACACAGTTGGCCGGGTCTGCTCTCTGGCGCTTCGTGTCTTCCCACTTCTTGAGGACGGCCTGTGTTATTGTCGCGCGGGCGGAGTCTCTGTAGCCGGATCATCTGGTGTCTGCGACAACCTTTCAGGATGGCCTCCTCGGGCTGTTCACCTTCTTCGGCGAGTTTCTAGCGGACTGCCTTCTTGATTCCGGCGCGTCCGCGTTGCATCGCACCGACCGGGTCGTAGCTTGAGCCTGGTGCCGCTACTGGGACAGCGGCTTGCGGGCGATCGCCGGGCCCGAGGTTGAAACTAAGGAGCTCCCCGGCGGCGGCGTCTGCGACTGCGTTCCCCGCTATGTCCACGTGACCGGGTATCCAGTCTATGGACAACCTGATTTGTCTCATTCCCAGCTTTAGGGCCAGCAGAAATTGTGTTCTGATTGTTTGACGGGTCCCTATAGCTGCGTCCTACAGGCTCTCACGACGTCTTGCGAGTCGGCGAATATTCTAACTGGGGTTCCGTTGTCAGGCGTGCTGCTACTAACACAGATTCGGCTTCTGCTTCTACGGCGGAACGCTATCCTAGGTTTCGTGCGCGTGATTCGCTCTTTCGGTGCGTGTACGCGAGGGCCGCCGCCTTGTGTTCTTCGGAGTACGCCGCATCCATGTATCAGATCGTCACGTTGTCCTGCGTTTGCTCCACCGACGTCGTAACGTTGTCCTGGTTTGCAAAGGCTTGTTGGGCGTGACCACTACTCTTTCCTACGGAAGGAGCGGCGCTGGTATGTTGCTGTTGCTGCTGTGTGCGACGTTCAGTTTCCATCTTAGCAATTCGGCCCGGGCTTGCCCCTGTTTCTTGTGCCGCAGCTTCAGCTCAAAGTTGCTTTCGCCCTGCTTGGCGATGCCGTCTACCGACGACAGGGGAACTGCTTTGCGTAGTTCTTTAATTTTCGTGCCCCTGGGTAGACCTTATATGCAGTGTCTCGCTTCGTTCAATAACGTTAAAAAATTGGGTTGTTTGTATGTTTATACAGCCTAGAACTTAGTCTGCCTCAACGGGTGACTTGTCTCCCAGCTGTAAATGAGCAATTGAACCACAACCGCTAGCCTGTGGTCTTTAACGTGCACCACGCAATAGTGATACACGTCCGCACGCCGGTACGATGCTCATCCAGATCGAAACGGGACAGAAGTGTAGATCAAACCCAGGATTCCTGGGTTCTGCAGCGCGAGCTTTCGCTCCACGTGCTCGGAGCTGGTGCGCGCTAGGCCACTTGGCCACCGATCTCCCCGTAGCGTTTATAGCTTGCCTTTATGCTGCTTGCTTAGCTTATTCGTGGTGAGAAGCTCGCTAGGTGCACTTCTGTTTTCCACACTATAGGGAGTATTCAATGGACGCCATATTTGTGGGCGCTGTTTAGAGCGCATGATTAATTGATTGATTGAAACGTTTATTTGAAAGACCACGCCTCTGGCTTGTGGGCCTCGTGTGGCGTGGGGGAAGGGAGAAAGGGAGCTAGCAATGACGATGGATCAGATGTACCGTCCGATCCCGAAGGACCGGAGGTAGGAGATGATGGATGAAAAGACGGCTGTTCTATCCGCGGGTTCCGAGGACCTCGGGTGGGTCCATTCCCATAGGGCCTTCGGTCGAAGGGAAGGTGGCAGGTTGTTGATCGCCGCCGCCCGTTCGTTTGACGTCTCTGGACAGAACCATACAAGGTGGTCACAAGTCGCGGGGACACCGGAGTGGGGACATCTTGGGTCAGGTCCCGTGTCCTCCTGGTCTGTTGGCATGTGGATTTTGCAAGCCAAACGGGAGTTAGCATAGTGCGAGTTTGCAGTCTGTGCAGGGCCACTCGTTCCCATCTTGGAAGCCCTCGAGGGATCCGATGGGGGTTAGCAGGGAGGAGCGCAGCAAGTCGCGCCTTCTGGGCATTTCTTTCTTCTTTTTTGATCTCATAGAGGTCGAAGACTTCTTTGCTTGAAACATCTCGTTGAACGGGTGAAGGAACCGGGCCTTGTGAGGGCTGAATACTTGCTTGTAGCAGTGCCCTCGCGGCCCCGTCCGCCCGCTCGTTCCCCGAAATGTTGGCGTGGCCAGGAATCCACGAGATGGTGATCTTCTGTTTAGCCCCGGCGAGGCGAACCAGTTCCCGGATGTGCGCAACCGTAACGTTGCACGTGCTCGACTGCCCAAGTGCGCGCACTGCCTCTTGGGAGTCTGTGTATACATGCGGGTTTCACTGATTTCTGGGCGTGGCATGGTCGTGGCCGTTTCCACTGCGAACAGAATCGCCAAAAGTTCTGCCATGCAGGTGCTTCGTGTACGTGAGGTAAGCTGGTTTCTCGTCTCGTTGCGAGTAGGTGAGTGCCATGCAATTGCAGTTGGGCCGCTAGTGTCCCTCGCTGCATCCGTGTAGAAGACTTCCACGTGGTTGAGGAACTGGCTGATTTCCTTGTTATGAATGGCCGCTTGCGTGGCTCGTCTCTCGGGGCGATCAGGTCCTTCGTGACTTGGAAGGGGTTTGACAGGGGTGACTGCCTCCGCGTTTCAAGGTGGAGTTGGTGTCGGCATGAGTGGGCCGTTGATGAGGTGGGCGCGACCACTGGACGTGAGTATGATTCGACCGTGAGGAGTGCGAGACAGCCGTTGAGCTTGGCTCACCCGCATCTCATCGGCGATATCACGGATAGTATTCATTTGAGCGATGCTCTAGAGTTGGTCTACCTGCGTGAAGTGGGGAAGTCCAGTGAAAACTCGCATGGCTGCTCGTAACATGGTGGTGAGTGCAGCTTCTTGTTTCTTTGTGAGACGAAGATAATTAAGTCCGTACACCACCTTAGAGATTAGGATGGCACGGACGAGGCGTCGAAGGAGGTCGTCCTGTGCACCCCATGTCTTGTCTGAGATGGCATTGAGTAAGTTTAGGCCTTCTTTCCACTGCGACTTCACCTGCCGGAGCCATGTGATAGCGCCACCTTTGCGGTCGAATGTGACTCCTAGAATTTTGATAGAGTCGGTCTGGGTAATAGGGACTCCATCCACCTGCAGTTGAATGTCTGTACGGGCGCTCCGGCGTCGGCCGGGAATGACCATATAAGTGGTCTTCTCCTTTGATAATTCGAGGCCTGATTGGAGGGCGAAGGTCGTGACGATGTTCAGCGCTTTCTGCATATAGAGTTGTTGACTTTCCGCCCCACCTGCCGTCGTCCATAGGGTGACGTCGTCCGCATAGATTGTAAAGCGAATTTGCGGGACGGCTTCGAGGGCGAGAGCCAGGTCCACCATAGCGAGGTTAAAAAGAAGCGGCGACAGGACCGCCCCCTGGGGAACTTCAATGTTGTTAGTTCTCCACTGGCTTTTGGTTTGACCGATGGACACCTGAAACGTTCGGTCTTGGAGAAATGTTTTGATAAAGTTTAGGAGGCGGCCCTGAATACCTCGCCTCTTTGCTGCATTCACAACGGTGCTGTGTGGTATGGAATCGAATGCTTTGCGTAAGTCAATGGCCACAAGCGTACGCGGTTGGCTTTTGAAGAGCCGGCGCTCGTAGAGGTCATGGTAAAGCATGAGTAGGCTGACCTGTGTCGAGAGGTGAGAACGGAAGCCCGTTTGCATGGGATGAAAGGCCCCAGTCGACTCGAGGATCCAGGACAAACGAGCATTGACCATGCGCTCTAGAACTTTGCACAAATTTGACGTCATGGAGATTGGGCGAAGGTTTGCCACCATGTTGGGTGCCTTGCCAGGCTTGGGAATAGGGATCACTGTAGATCTCTTCCATTCGGGAGGTAGCTCACCCTCCTCCCAGATGGCGTTGAAGATGTCAAGAAGCTCCTTCATGGCGTCCGACGGAAGGTTCCGGAGCGCGGAGACAGTAACGAGGTCCGGGCCAGGTGCCGACTTGGCTCGCGCTGTCGCGAGAGCGTCCTGGAGCTCGGCGAGCGTGAAGAAAGCATCCGCCGGGTGTTCATTTTGTATGGGCTGCCGGACGTAGACATCTGCTGGGGGCGGCTCGGGTTGCTGCGGGAAGAAATAATCTCCCGCCTCTGCCGCGAGTTATTCTTCGGCAATGTCGAAGCGGAGGGCCAAGTTGCTTCCGGTGTTGCAGGTTTTTGTTTTCCCGGCGAGCCCTTTATAGGCCCGCCAAAGCGCACGGTAGCCTATCCGCTCGTTAAAGGAGTCGCACAGTTTCCGCCAGTTGGTACGGCAGAGCTCGATTGTGTATTTCTTGGCCTCGGCCGTGGCGTGATTCAGGCGGATCTTGTTCTGGAGGGACCTCCTGGTTCTGTAGCGCATAAGGGCCTCCAGTCGCCTGCCCCACGAGTTGATGAGGTGCAAGTCGGGTTGCGGTGTGTCTTCTTTCACGTTGTACTCAGTGCGGGCCTCCCGTAGCGCGTGTTGGATGCGTTCCGTGAAGGGGACGCCG